TGGTTGTGTTTGGTAACAGAATTAAATCATCAATAGTTATAGGAAAACTAAATCTAAGTATTAAAATCAATAATCTTTTTTACTCACCTACACATTACTTTAATTCATGTATATAGAACTGTGAAAATCTACAAATGTTATAAGTATCATTTAATATTGTTGAACTCGTAAAGTTCATTTCCTTATCTACTTTAAAATTCTACTTTAAGATATTTAATTAATTTTAAAACAACTTCTGAATTTAAAAATATCTTGTATTTTTCTAAATGTGTGACAACATGACTATTATTATTTTCCTCGGAATCTTATTCCTTAACATGACCAGCAAAGCAAAACTTCTAATTTTAATGCCATCAATTTCAATAGAATAGGATTTTATCAGACTCTAATAATACGGTAAATATTTTAAAGACAAATTTCACATTCAGAAATATATTGCAAAAAAAGCAGACACATTTAATATTAAATAACTTAAATTGGGACTAACACATGTATTTTTGCATATTTAATTTAAGAAAGCATATTCATGCACATCACAAAAGTCAATATTGAGTGTTTAATATATAAAAAGGCACTATTAACTTCATATTACACTTGCCTTTTTTCCCATTATTAGGTGGGCTTGGTGTCTCTCCCTCATTGTCTTTATAACATTGAAAACAGACAATAGTGGTTAATTATTAATGCCATTAACAATGCAAATAAAAATCAAGCACACCACAGAAGGTGACATGACACACTAGGAAAACAAATCCATGCACTGAACATGACATCTCACACTCATGAACACAAGAGTAAAGGACATCCTTCCTATCCTATACAAACAGTCATAAAAATAAAAATAAAATGAGAAATAATGAGTCATTTTATAAAAATAGGAAGATTATAGTTATATTTTTATGCTAATTTGAGAACTGAAGTAATTCACTCACTTAATTTTGAGAATAAAGTATAGGCAACAAACGGGTTCAACAAATGGGCTTCCCTGTCTTAACGAAGTTAAGAAAAAAGTGGTATTAACTATTGCTGAGGTCCCTAAACAGTACCCTAAAAAATGACCTTACGGCAGCTAATTCATGAACAGTGTGAAAGCCTTTCACTGTAAGTTCTACACCGTATGTTCACTGTATGAACTAGTATAAAATATTTAGAGATGAGCATTATGAAAATATTAAGTACACAGCTAAATTAAAGTTAATTCTTACAGTATTCATAAGAATGTTATTGCTATAGCATTTCAGGAAAATGAAGGGTATGTGTCATCCTAGTAGTTAGTATATTAGAAATTCATAACAGAGATAGTTACACATTTCTACAAACATGCATCTATCTAAACTTGCCTTTGTTTTCATTATCAGAAGTACTCTGATGATTTTTCTCATCTGCATAACATTAAAAATAGTAACTGTTCATTAGCAACTGCAGCTTAAGAGATCTTCTGTCTTACACAACATGCACCATTGAAAAATGAATCCATGAAAATACAACTCATGCACAACTTACACAATGGCATTGCTTTCACACAATGTTAAATGGCGGAATAAAAGGAATGTGAAATACAACTTATTATTCATGAATAAAAAATGATGATGGGCTAAAAATGATAAAATTAGATCTAAAGTTATTCTGCATTGTTCAAAGAAATTTAATTTTTTTTTTAAATTACAGCTTAGATAAGTTTAGGATTTAACACTGAGTTTAACTGAAATAGAAGTCGGATAAAAAAGTCTGTAAGTATATTTACTGATTGTATAATATTTTAAGATATAAAATCCTTTCAGGAACATTCTGACAAAGTAAACAAAACTATCATATGTAACTATAATAGGGACTTAAAACGCCAAAATGAAATGGTCATCATAACCATTTAGAAAGAGAACTCTTAGGAGAAAAATTATGAAGGTCAATAAATATTAAAGCAATATTGAGCTGGGATGAAGAAAAGGGACCCACAATTAATTGTTTTTATTTTAGGGGAAAAATTATGAATAGAATGATGATAATCTCTAAAAGTATTAAGAATTAAAATTTGGAAGTTATACTCTGCTCAACATTTACTTGTAATTTGCCCCTACAAAATCAAAATTCCTGAAAGAGGAGGCTAGGACTTTACTCAGTGTAACACATGGAAAAACATAGGATTTTAGTAGGTACTCAATTAAAATTTTTGAATAAATAAGTAACTAAGTGTAAAGCTAGGGTGAAACATAAGTGTAAATTGTGGTCTGAAGCATTGTCTGTCATTTTAGTTTGATTAAACATTAGAAAAAATGTTCAAATGGGTAAGTTAAATATTCAGTTAAGTTACCTAGATAGCTTATATAATATCTCTCCATTAAAAATCAGGTAATTTATTTTAAAATTAGTACTGAAAAATGTTCTTTTTTGTGTACTTATAGATTTAAAATGACAAAGTCATACTTCTAAAACATTCAGTTCTTCATTTTAGACACACAGACAGACCTGCCTTGACCTCTTCACCCTGCTTCTCTCCCCCCTGCTCCTCCACATGCCCAGTTTCTTCATTAACTTCTGTGTTCGCACAAGTAAAAGTAAAAATAAATAAGTAAGACGACATATGTATACGTATTACTCTGCAGTGAAACAAAACATTTCAAACTACTCATGATATATCAGTGATTATTAAAATACTAAAATTATTTTTAACAAGTTTCTCACATGTTTTGGAATCAAAAAGTATACCTTAATAAGTGATCATGTTGTCACCTTTTATAAGGACTTTGCTTTGTAAAAGAGAAATTGTGGCCACTGAAATATTTGCAATATGTGAAAACTATGTAAAGTATACAAAAAACTTTGTCTATTAACTTGGTACATTTTTATAAACAAATTACAAAATGCCACTACATCAAAGTTAGGGGAAAACTTAAAAATATTAATAATGCCTTGCAGTTGTTTAGTACATTATGCTTTCATTATATTGTTCCTATTTTCTCTGGTTTTTAGACAAAAAGGGACGACTGACATTTTACCACCATCAAGAACAATATATAAGGATTTAAATTAATTTAATTAACAGACTAAAATATAACCAAAACAAAAAAGGTATTAAATTAGGACTTGCTCATTTTTTAGCTATTGTACAGGATTAGAAAAATAACATGTCATTATTTTTATTCCAAAATAATATAATTAAATTACAACTTCTGACAACTTTTTAGAGATAACCCAAACATTAAGTTGATTTAGACTATCAATTAAGTCTATATTGGCTTCTGTACTTTTAACTTCAGTTACAAGCTGAAGACTTCTAAAGAAATATTATATATATCCTTTAAAACTAAAGAAAATTACATGACCATGTATCTACTAGTCTTCATATCAACATTTATAAAAGCACTTAAAATCATTTACAATTTTAAGCAAAACAAATAAAAAGAAAGTCTTTTATTTCAAACTGGAAAGGATAGGGGAGATTTTGGCTCTTCTCTCTTATTTATAAAAATGGAAAAGTCACAATTAGGGATATTAAAAGAACACAGGTTTTAATAGAATATATAGGGCAGAAAACAAATAGTAAATAGAATGTTTTTTGAGAAACCCATTTAAAAACTTCTTCAATTCTGATTTTCTGTATCAGCACTATGTCAATTTTCTGGTATATTTGTTATTACAAAGAATGTAGATACTCATATTTCAATAGACAATTGTTATAAAAGATATTAAAATTGTATTTACCAAAATTGTTATATAAACTATTTTTCTGACTTCATATGCCATCAAAATTCTACCTTACAATAAAAAAAATTACATACATACTACAGAACTTTCCTTATGGAAAGTACTTTTAAAATTATATACCCCACTCTAATGCAAATAATTGAGATGTATAGAAATGATGCTAAAATCTTTTTATCAGTCCCCATAATAGACCATGAGTCACAATAGCATTAAGTTGTTTAAAATCATGGCATATAGCAAACAGAGATAACCACAAAATAGAAGTTGATGAGTCATTCTACTACAACTAACAAGAACAAAATTTGTTCCAAGTTATATAAGGCAATAAAAGTATTGCTGCCCAAATGCAACACAGTTGAAAATTTGTTACGAATGGGTTACAGAATATGAATTTGACTACAAATGTTATAGAATGACAAGATTATTTTAGTGGCGCTTTATACACTATTTGAAGTGCCTTCTCAGTTTTTAATAAATATTTCATGCATTCATTCAACAAATACCCATTGAGGGTCTACAATGTACCAGGCATTATTCTATGTGCTGGAGATTATTTAATAAATAAAACAGTTAATTCTTTAAAGTTACAAAGTCGATTTCTGAATTGTATAATTAGCAGAGAAATTTTTATAGTCCTAGTAAATGTATGACACACCACATACCATGACTCCTGAGTCATAATGTACTGTGACAATAAATCTGTATATATTTAACTTTGATATACTGTAAGCAATCTTGCTACAATATGAAAAACGATGGAGGAAATACAAACCACAATCACTATCTAATTCAACAACTTCCTTTTCTAGAAAGCCAAATCTAATAATTAAAAGATCATCATAAATACAAAATGAAATATATGATGATAACTATAACTAGACTAGGTGTGCATCCTCGATGACATAAACACAGACTGCAATTGATATCTTTGGTTAAAGTCTTGCAGAAAACATAGAATTCTGCTTAAAAGGCAAATTAAATTTTTTAAAAAGGGAAAATATTATCTCACCATTTAAAAAGAGTTAAACTCTTTGCATTCTTACTTGACTGAATCAAAGAAATTTAACTCCTTGGCATAATTCCAAGTAAAAGAAAAGTTGCACAGTTTACTAGAAATCATAAAATAAAATAATTTTACTTACATACTTTTAAAAAGTATAAAATATAATTTTACTGTATATAGAATGATTTACGTATATATGCAATATAAGAATGTCAATTGCAGTGGGTTTATTTTTGCTTACAAAGCCCCCCGAAAAGGCTGTCAGCACAAAACAAACCCTCCTTCATGTACAGACCTTCATAAGGTTCTATCTCCTTGACTTCATTGTCTAGGAAAAACGAAATAAAAAAAAAAAAAAAGGGGAACCAAAGCACAGGGGTTAAAAACAACAGAAATTTCCAAAGGCACAGAATGCATCAACTATTAAAGAAAAGTTAAATGGTGATTTAATTTATTTTTTTTTGGCACAGCATATCCAGTTACCATATAAAGGGACCATTTCAAAAATAACAATAAAAATTATTATAGTCTATCATCCCATGCTTTTAGAGGTCCTTTAACCAAGAATTTATAGATGTTTGGGGAGTATGTTCATCTATGTGTAAGCAAATAATGCTTTTTATGCAAAATATTTGAAGTATTAAAATTATCAGTACAACATGCATCTTTCTTTGCATATTCATGATTACCTTTTTCTGGTACTCCAGTTTTGAGAAGGATCACCATTGTTGTGCATCAGCTAACCAGTCCTTTGCAGTGTGTGAAAATTGATTTGGCTAGTTACTAATAAACTTTTTGTAACTATCAACAATTACATAAACTTAGTTGAGTAAAAAAATATCATCCAACTGCTAATTAAATAAGAGCATTAAGTTTACTTTTTAAAATGTATTAATTCAAATTTGTAAAATGCACAAGAGCAATAATGTTATGTTATTTTATCTGCAAATATTACAAATTTTAATGCAAAATATATAATGATTACTGGCAAATGCAGCTAAGGCATTCAATTAACAAAAGAAGAAAACTAACAAAGGTAGTAAAAAAATCTTGATTCACCTTAGCTTCCATGTGTATTTCCTATATGACATAATTAGAAATAAAACTTACTTCTCTCCAGTGTTCCCTTTGGTGGAAGCTGTGGAAGTTGTCGGCCCCTTCGTCCTGCCACTGGAGTACTTGATGGGCTTGTTTGGACAGACCCAGTACGAGGATGCGACCTATAAGATACACCATTAATATTCACTTTCAATAGAATAAGATAAATACTTTAAATACATTTGGTTTATATGACAGCTGCATAAATGCAATTTTAAAAGAAGTTTAGCTGCTGATTAAAAGGTTAGGAAAGTAGGACACAATATGGGTATTTGGATGATTATCTAAATAGCCAAAGACGTTTAAACTTTTGTGTAATATGCATACATACACAGATACATGCACGGAAATCCTACAGTAAAATCCATGAAATTATTAATGTAAATTGATATTCTATCCATACAAAAAGCAAGAGGAGAATTGTGTAGCTCAAAAAATAAAAGGTAATGCTTTACATTTTTTTTTCTCCCAGATTTCAAACTCTTAACTCTAAAATACCTCCCTTGATCCAAAGAGATTTTTACTCAGGCTTATAATAGATACCCCTTTATTAGAAAGTATCTGATGAAACTACAAATAAACCCCGAACAATTCAAATTTAGCTAAAGAAGACAATGGTAAACATATGATATTAGTACTGATAAAGGAAACTAAAAACCTAGTTTTATTTGCTGTTATGATGATTATTCCAACAGTGATGTCTAATGAACACAAACAATTTCTCATTCTGTAGGAGAAGAACATGATAATTATGAGGTGCATTATGTGGGGATTTACCCAGGACTCCTGATAAATGAGAAATCACAAAACAAATGCAGTCAGGACAGTTAATAAACATTTTACAATGGTAGCCACACACTATTATATCCACTGAATATAAATAGTGTGCTTACACTGAAAAGGTTAGTATCAACTGTTATTAGTGATCAGCCAAGGATGATAGAAGAGACCATTTAGCTGTTGGGAAAATAAAATGGTGTGTTGGTGGGGCAGAGGGGGAGTTAGTCTGATTGATTTATCTTTCACCTCGATAAGGCAGGTGAAGGAGGGGCAGATCTTCCAGTCATTAATGAAGGCATCGACCTCATGAGGTTTGTATCAGGACGTTCAGTGGATCTGGAGCGGGTGGTGGTCCGCTCTAGGAGAGGCCGTTGTTCTGTTGATCTGGATCTGTGATATGGCTGTCTATCTGCTGCTTCACAATCCCTGAAACGTTAGTCAAAAAGCAGCTCAGTTGATCTTTTGTGCCCTTCTGCTATTTGGTTATGATGCATCAAACTGATTTTGAAAAAGGTAATTGTTTAAAGTCACTGAGTATGTAAGAAAAATTCTCTTCCCCAACATATTCTAAGAAAATTCTCACTAAACTTTAAGATTTTCTAAGGAACCAAAATCTGTCTTTAACAGCAATTCTCAGTGAAGATAATAGAAGTTGCTCAGTTACAATCAACAACAAACCAAACTGCCTGCCTTCCAAAGTGAAAATTACCTTTGGAACATGTGAAATATGTAAAGTATTCAATTTTAAAGAATTCAATGAGTTTTCCTAATATTTTCAAAAGAGTGGAAAAAACCATATAAGCACTGTTATCAAGTCCCTAAGGCTGTTTACTATACCGAATAAGAGTTAAAAAGACTTTCAACACAATCATAGTATACTGATACATTTGAACTGAACACTCAAAATGTTGTAAGAAAACAGAGCTATTTTGCAGTCTGTAGTCATATTTAAACATGGTCCACCAGAAAAATCACTGTATAGAAAACTGGTTAATCAGCCAATCTATGCCTTCTGTCTGAGTGCATTTTAGCGGTGAGGTCAAGCAACACTATTTAGAATGGTTATTAATTGATTGAAATAATAATGGTTCTGAAACAATTTGATCTCCTTAACCACAAATAAATCAATATCAAATCCTAATCCTTGTTGAAAGAAGTGCACTGATATTTAAGTAATCTATCATTATTGATTTTTTTTTTTGTCCCTGGAGTTTAGCATAATGTTTTTACACCTAACAAGTGTCCCATAAATACAATCTCCATTATAAATGGGATAACCCTAAAAATACTAGCTTTGGCTCCAGAACTCCAAAGTAATGTATAATCCAAAGTACACTTCAAATCAAATTATCACCTCTCCACCTAGCTGTAACCACAGAAACGGGAATGGCTATGTATTATACATGGTAAAGCAAGACTAATGTATCAAGGATGTCCACTTTGCTTACACATTCTCTCAATCTTATTTTTGATAATAAAAATGCAAAATATTAAAAAAAATAAGAAAGAGCAGAATTCCCCATATGTAATTAATTGTATGGCAAATAATTTCAAACCAGAAGATTAGATGACATTAGAAACTGAATTTATTCTGCAATGCATCTTATCATTATCTTATACGTTAAATTCATCAGATAATATATGTCAACTAATTTTTAAATATTTTTAAGTCCATGCACCATGATGTAATTGATTAAGATAATTTTAGTATATTTATATAAGCATATCCAGAATATGCAAAAAAATTGAGATTAAATGTAAATACATATACCTTCACTTGTCAAAGAAAGGGGACAAGGCAACTTGATTGTTCAAAAACTTATCATTCTGTCCTGGCTGGTGTGACTCAGTGGACTGAGCACTGGCCTGCGGACTGAAAGGTTGCTGGTTTGATTCCTGGTCAGGCCACATGCCTGGGTTGCCAGCCAGGTCCTCAGTTACAAAGCAAATGATCTGCATTTCCCTCACACATGTTTTTCTTTTCCCACCCCCATCTAAAATAAATAAATAAACAAACAAACAAGTAAATAAATAATCTTTTTAAAAACATCATAATTCTATCTTTATTCTCAAAAAACTATTTTTTTGAGAAAACCTCTTTAGAAATAAATATGCTCAATAATTTGCTAAATGTTCTTAGTGTACATATCTTTGAATATCCTCATTACAATGGATAACCAGAATGAAAGGGATCTATATATCTCAGGTTCCTTAAAACCTTTTGGAGAGTATCAATATTTGTATTATTTTCAAGCTTCCTATTATCTTAAGTTAAAAATTGACTTATCTCACTATAGAACATGTAGTAACAAAACTTAGTGGAATATCTATGACTACCCAAACAGAAATTTAGTCTATTTCATTTATTTATAAAAAATTTGATTTATTCTGATACCATCAAGCAATTTTCCCAAGTGGAAAATGAAACATTAGGATATACATTTTCACTTCTTTGACACTTTTTAATAACTGAAATACAGATTTGTGAGTGAAGTTGGCAAAATCATTTGAATTGTGTTACTATGTTCTATATTCTTTAAAAGGTACTGTCATTTATAAAACAAACAAGTCACTCCTTAAGAAATATCCCTTAAAAATATATCTTTTCAGTGAAAAAGTTGTTTGAAGAATATAGTCAGTTTTAAATTTTACTTATATTGTCTCTCCGTTTCATAAATTACATGACTTCCACAATGTGAAATAAAAAAATCAGTTATTAAGTAAAACATGGAAAGGACCACAGAAGAAATTTCCTGAAATGCTCCACCACAGTTAAGGGGAATGGAAAGCTGCCATATTTTAAATTTTAATTACACAATAGAAGGTAAAGATAGCTCCTCCTCCCACAAATGAATAAGCAAAGGTCTTACTAGATAAGGACTAAGGCAATTGCTGAGATTATTGAAAGCAGCAACCTAAGCCTTAGTCTCATATATAATGTCCAGTCTCGCAGCAGTTTTTTTTTTTTTTAAGGGTTGAGATATAAAACTTGACAACCTGCACCTAAGTTCCTAGTGAATTTAATTTTAAGCTAACATAAACAATTAAGTTTGAATAATAGTAACAGAGATGTGGGAAATAACAGGTCACAATTTATAATGCCTAAAATATTTTAGTGCCTACCTGGAATTCTTAGGTTGAGGTTTATAATTTAATATAAGTAATTTCCTTTGCAACCCTGCTTATTTATTTTATTTTATTTTATGCTTTAAAATATTATTAAAAAAAGAGAGTCACATGTTTTACAAGATTGCCAAAGGGCAAGCCACTTAAAAGTTTAGGAACCACTCAACTACATATTTAAATCATTCTTAGGTAAATAATTTGGTTCTCTTTCAAAAAGTGACTTAATATATGTCATGATTCTATCTTTTTAATAAATAATTTATATTTTCTAATATATGTTTGAAATAGTTCACTTTTTAAAAAATTATTTATTTTTCCAAATACATTTGTCTCTGTGAAATAGTTCACTTTTTATATGTGCCATTAACCTAGATAGATTACTGCTCTGCCACATTTAGTGGGCACTATTCCAAACTGCAAGCATTTGGAAAGGCTACTGCTAACTAGCCCCTGTGCAAGTAGAGTTAATTTATATTGACTGATAATAATTGTAATAAGAGTCAGTATTTGTTGCACTAGCTTTAAAAAAAATATAATAGCATATGATTTTGAGATGAGAATTTCTAAAGAAAAAATAATTTTATAGTGATCCAGTGAAGTTGTCCTTTGAGTCATTTTTCCTTTGGGTATAGCTGTTCTAAAAAATTAAAAAATTTTCAAGTATATGACACAGTTTTCTACCTATTTCATCATTTTTGCTACTTATTTACCCTTTTCTAAATCAAGGCACAAGGAAGTTATGCAATATAACAGGAAGCATAGGCTAAAGGACATTCTTTTCTACAACCACTTACACCACCCAATGCAAGGATACAACTTCAAATCAACATAAGCTCAATGTAGAGTATCTTTCTAAACATGAGAGAAGAATAATAATGTACTCCAAAAATTAAAAACAACCAGCACAATGCAAAGTTTCTAAGTAATACTCAGATATATCAATGAAAATAGTCATTGAATGTAAATCAGATCTTATAGTCTATGCTAAATCAGTCTTAGTTCATGTTTATGTTGTAAACAACATCATAAATAAATCTAATTGGTTTCCCGGAAAAATAAACCTGTAAAAAGTAAACATATTTAGGAATTAGTTATCATTTTTTTCTTTATAAAGCTGAAATCTTTTTAAAAAAATGAACGTGTATCTGGAGGACAAGAAGTATAATCTCAGGAATGGGCTAAGAAATTCCTTCCCTATATCTGCATTGTATATAGTAAACTGATTAACAGCAAAAGCATTATAATTTTGATAAATTACCTCATATGACTAGAGATTGTCTGAACATTAGTTGCATAATATAAGAAAATAATGTCTAATGCTATTTTTAAATGAGACATTTTAGGGTAATTAATATAACATGGCCTCTTGCTGTTTTCTATCAGTTCTCAGCAGCCTTCCATGGGGATTTGATATTAAAGAGGTATTAAGTTTGAATTTAGGCCATTCATTTAATATGCATTGGGTGCTTTTTATTAATTTTACAGTAAGCTGCTTTTTGACTCTGTGGACTGATTCATCAAAATATTAGTAAAAAAGGCCATGTTTTGAAGCAGCAGGTCTAGGTCACTTTGTATGTAGAACTTTTTGTCTTCAATAAATCTGATTGGAAGAAAAAAATGTCAAATGGAAATGCTAGATACAACAGAAAATAGAATATGGAAAAATGTTAGTTGGAAAATTAGCTTGGAGTCAGTTTATGGAGATTTGAAATGCCTAGTTAACAGGTTTAGACATTTTATTTAATTAAATAAAAATTAAATCAATTTAATTATCAGTTAGAATGACCAAAAAAGCTTCTGAACAAAGTTACTTTTTAGGTAATGAATTAAGAAGATGAATTTAGCTGTAGTATATAGAATGAACTAGAGTAGGAAAGGGCTGATTTGTAGTTAGGGGTAGAAATCAAGAAGGGATGGATGAAAAATATTATAAATAACAATGTATAAAGTATACAATGTACAGTATTAGAATATACACACTATGTAGAATTATATAAAAGAATGTTAGGATTACATGGAACCTCAGAGGTCATATGAACCACTCTTTCATTTTATAAATAAGCAAACTAATGCTCATGGAAACTTGGACAAAGTTACACAATTAGATATTTTCTGAGCTAGAGCTTGAACTGAGCTTTCTTGATTCTAAAGCCTGTTAACTTCTTTGATAGCAAAAATGTTTGTTTCTTTTTCTCACACTAATGTTTGACAAGTCACCATATGAATTAAATGTAAAAATGAATAAACCAAAGAAAAACACCTGAAACTCCCAGCCTCCAAAATAAAATAATGATCTATAA